CTCTTATATATATATGTATTTATCTAGTACTTTTCACAGGTGTAACAACTAACAAGGTGTGTGTACGAGTTGTATAAGTGCAAGTGTGTGCGTTGTATGTTTGTTTGTTTGTTTGTTTCCCATAAACGCCAAAACGGCTGAACCGATCAGACTAAGATTATTTGTAGTAACTTTGTGTTTCCAATTAAGGTATTTTGTCTTACAAAAAATTAATATTTCAAACTATAAGTTCTGTTTATTAAAAAGTCTAAGTCTGAAATATCGAAAATTTACACCATTAGGTTGCAAAGTTATAGGAAATATAAAATTCGAGTTTGTGGCGAAAACTTTATTCCTTTTTTTACTTTAAAAACCCACTTTGAAGTAAAGCAACAATATTTGAAAAAGAGGCGTGAAGCGCCTTAAAAATCCTAGTCGATATATGTCTTGTCTGTCTGTTGGTTTGTGTATGTATTTGTTCTGGTGTGTGTCTGTGTTTATGCAGGGTTTGTTTGTGACAGGGTGTATTTTTATAAGTGTATAATTTGCGCCACCTTTCATCTCTACTTTGCATAGGATTAGGCCGCGGGTGAACTTCTTTTAAGAATTAGAACGGATCAACTTAAAAACTTTGCCAATGGGTTTTAAGAAATAAACTTCATTCTTGGTAAAATAAAGATGTTTTAAATTATTAGTAATTTCTGGTATAGGGGTTGTAGCGTAATGTCAAGTGACCCTCAAAGCAAATATGTCAATGTTAGATTCACAACAGTACCCTTGAAACTTTTATCTGATCTATAATGTGGAAGAATTGTAGTTTTATTGGTTTAAAAGTATTCAATTTTGATAATTCTTATAAATATGTTTTCCTTGTACAAGAAATACGCAAGTCACTTTGAGAAACCACAATTGAAAGTTTCATTTTTCCAAATTATAAACATATTCCTAACTAATTCACACTTGATAAGACAAATATTTTTAGAACATCGTTTTATATCGGATAGCATTGTAGAGCACTTTAAATTACGTTCACTGTCCCTTTAAAGCCCTTTAGTATGATGATGAAAAAAGAGTTAATAATTGATAGATTCAGGTTTGAATTCTACGAACCATAATTATACCGTGCAGCAATTAAAAGCATTATCAATATTCTGGTTTAAAGATATCAACGATTTAAACCCACGTAATTGAAAATATCTAATGATAACCTTAATATGAACTTTTCCAGAAGACATAAATTGATGAATTTATATTAATTTAATCCATGCAGAGTTAAATATCTGTAAACTTGGTTTAATATAAACCTAGTTTTAAATAATACTTAAAGCTTAAAAATGTTGAATAAATTGTTTAATTCTAATAATATTGAACCCACTACACACGTACCTCTGCCCCTTTAGTAAAAGTAAATTCAACCTATATGAAGCATAATGTCTGACCGAGCTAGGTGCAGTTCAAATTGGGACCGGATAGGTTGACCCGGCTCGGAAATTCAAATGTACTACGGCTGCCCATGTACACAGTGCTTCAAAAGCCAAAGAAAAATCAGAAAATAAGACCTGCTTTGTTGTAGCCGGTTATAAACAAACTAAAGAAGAAGAAGTTTAACTAGTTCAATGAATATATATAAGTGATTTAATTAGGTATACCTAGGTTACGCGCGCCACTGTACGCTATTCAATAAGTTCTACCTCTGATGCGTGAGCATTCATAAATTTCGATCTCTCAAATTCAAATTTTCCCACAGATTTTCCCAAGATTGAGGTAAATCTAATACTTCTACCCAAACTCTTTAAGAATCTAACGTACAACTAGTTTACAATACTTTTTTAACACACTTTTGTTTTTGTTTTTTGTTACCACCCAGTGTTAGGGGTGAATGGTTTACATTACACTTAGGTGTTAATAACAGACAATATTTGCACAAACCAGACAAAAAATGGAAGTTTAGATAGATAGATATATAGATAAAAAGATAGATAAACAGACAGATTGATATATAGATAGATAGATATTGATATGCTAAATGGTTGAAATACTTGCTTTGTTTGTCAATGAAATTTAAGAATTTGTTTTACCATTCATTTAAACACCCCAACCCTGTAAACAAACTGGACAAGTTTCAATAAAAGAATTGAGTCGTTGCCACAAACTCCGATTCTCTAACCACTCTATCTTTGCAACCCCACGCTGTAGACCTTGGGTATTTCAAATCATGAATTCTGTTACATCAAATAACATAAGTTAGAAATATGAAATGTTTACAATGTATCAGGTAGCAAACATGTAGGGCTTAATAAATTTAAGTTTGTGGTAAAGACTTTTTAGTGTATAATGTAAGTGTGTTTGTATTAAAAATTGATTAGTTTTTACCTAAAATATCCAAATAATTCTCCAGGAACATCGAAAAAGAAATGAAAGTTTTGTTTCTAGAACGTGTGGTGTCCAAACACACATTTAACATATTTACATGAATATGCTGGGGTTCGTATCTCTGTAATGACAAATTCTCGTGACTTATCCTACCATGGAATAAGGAGAGGTAGAGAGGGCGGGGGGCCGGGGGGTAGAGTCCAGAATGAATCTAATGGGTTTAGATATATCTTGGAAAATATTTGAAAACTAATAGTAAAGAAACATAGAAGATAAGGGAAAAGAGAATGGATAAGAGGGAAAAAAGGATTTCTGTAGAAAGAAGCAGAATGNGTCGATACCATGCCATCAAAGCAAATACATATAAAAAGATGATAAAACATTTAAAAGAACAGAGATCGCTGAAGGATCGCAGAAGCGAATTTAAGGAAAAGAAGAGAAAAATTACAAAATAAAAAGATAGAAAATAAATATCAAACCATTTGAGAATGAAAAAGGCTGAAAGGACAAGGAACTTGATTATGGGTGACTTAGGAGAAAATGAGGCTTGAGGCGGAATCTTGAATTTGAATACCTGAAAGTTGTTGATGCAAACTAATATAGAGAAACAGAACAATTCAAGAGAAACTCACTAAATTCCTGGAGACAAGAAAATATTTTCGATTTTAAAAAGTTTAGCATTCACAGCATTTTAACTTGATTTTTTTCATATTTAGTTTTAAACAAAAAAAGACTAAAACAATTACAATACAAATAAGTGCAGTAAAAAATTTCATTTAAATTAATTTAGATTAAACCTTTTAAGCAACTAATCATCTATTTGAGTATCAATGAGGAATATATCGTCGTTTTTTCTGTCTTAAAATGTGCAGTATTCTGATCATTTCTTCAATTTTCATTGAACCATAAATCCGCAAGTCCCTTTTATGGAAATCCCACAATTAAAAGAATATTAATTTTTAGCTAGAAATATAAAGATATCTCATTCAGTCTTGTTCATACAAAGAATCAAAATATGACAGAAAATATTCCGATAGAGACAGGAATTAAAAATACTTGAATTTAGAATGAAATATGATATCTACATTTTTCTCTAAATAATTATTTGTTTGTCGGATATTATCCCAATGACGTATGCAGAAAAGCTTGTGATATTTTACTATAAAAACTGTATTCTAGAGGCGCTCATCTTATAAAGATGTTTTTACTTGCCAATAGCTCGATGTGCGAAGTTACGTTAATCTGTAACGCTTGATCTAGATTTCAAATGTGGACACTTTTCAATGTGAGGATAAATGCTTGATTCCTTAATCAAAATTATCCGTGGCAGAGAATAAAATGGAGATCAATGCTTCATCTCGAGATTCAGAACAAAAAACTTCAGAGCTAGCTAGGATTTCTTGTCCAGTGGATATTAAGATCAATGCATGATCTCGATCTTATGTTAATCTGCAGATTAATTTAATCTTTATACGATAATCCGCATAGTAATCAGACTCTGAAGGGATAACTGAAATGAAGAGATAAAGCATTGATTCTCAAGTTAAAAGTGTCCACAACGGATATTGAGATCAAGCTATCTGGATTATAAGTATCCAAATGTTCCCAGCTCTGGTATTTCTTCAATTTTTATCATATGACGAGTGGTTAGCTGTTTAATCTACGTACTTCTTTGATTTTGTGTAGAAGTGTTCTGTGATACAACATCCTGGCGCTAGGTCCTGGGTTAAGAGGTTCCGTGAATATATGTCTAACTAAATACAATTTACAATGTTATCTATAGATATTAATGGTGTTGTCTTTTATATAGACTTAAGATATAATTTAAATAATTTTGATTATTGAGAATGTAGGAGTTTTACATAAAATACAGGTAACATGTATCGTAAATGTTAAACCATGCAAGGTGTTCACCATAGTTTCAGTAGAAGTAAATATATTTCCATTTACTGATAGCGCCGATTGAAGGATTCATAACTCTGATTTGATAATGAGATAGATAGTAAGATAGATGTTACCGTAATACTATTTCTATTGGTTCAAAGCATACAACAAACACATGACTGAACCCTGATTGGATCAGACGTTCATAGACACGGCATACAGGAGTGTGTTTTTGGTGAAAAAGAAATTGGGATTCTTAATTTTACTTAGATTTTATATTTCATACTTAGATTTTTAAAATTCGACCTAGTTTAATAGAATTAATAAGTTATAATGTTAAGAGTTTATTCTTTTTCTTTAATCTGTAAAATAATAGTAATAAAATTCCTTAAATATTTTACGTTTGTATTTTTACAGATTTTGACAGTGTGAAGTGTTTAGTTTTCATATTTTATAAGATGGCAAACAGTAGCAAGGCTCCAGGCTCCCCCCCTCCCCATCTCCTTTTTTACCAACCTGGTCCCCTTCGTTAATCTTTTTTATAATCGCGCTGTATTGCAATCACCTTTTAAGAGTGTTTTGGTCTGTTTGTCTATGGATTTGTAAAAGATCAGTTATAAGAAAAGCATGTCTTTAAATTCACCCCTCTTTGCCAGGATATTAGGTTGCATGTGTGCATCAGTTCTTCCTGTTCAGAGTGTGTATTGAGAGAGTGTGTGTGTGTGATATGTGTGGGAGGATTGAATAGAGAGAGAGAGAAGAGAGAGATTTCAAGATTTCAGTTAAACTTGGACACTCCTACAGCTAAGGTCTGAGACAGCGATCCAGATAAATCTGGATTTTTTACTCCGATCACAGAGTCGAGAAGTCTCAAGAGGATTTTTTATTCAATCTTTTACAAGTTTTAAAAGGTATGTAAACATAATTAAATGGTCGATTACATATAGCTTAGAACTATAAACAGAGACATTAAATAATAAAAAAAGTGAGCTTATGATTCTTAAAAGAACTATTGCGCTTTTAAATGCATATGTTTATCCCTATTATGCCCCGTTTTAATGACGTGTTTGTGAATGTGGGAGTTGTGTGTTTCAATTCAAGAAATCCCATTAACGTGTGAGATGGCTTTAAAAGCTAGATTGGATTCGGGTGGGTCCCTTTCAATCCGCCCTTTAACAATACGATATGGGGAAGTAATTTTAAAAAATATAAATATTTAAACTTAATTTTATAAATGAATTCATACGATGTCTCTTTATTCTCAAGTTAAGGTCTCTCATATCATCTAATTGTCAGATGGCAGCTGCAGTTATCCCTGAAAAACTTCAATCTTTACGAGAGAGTTCTGTTGCACGGCGGATAGAGGCGGAAAAACGGCGGAATTTGCCGAGACAGCAGAGACATCTGACGGGGAAACAGAAGCTTAGTAAATACAGAAGGAAGTGTGCTAATGCAAAGGTATTTAAAGTTTATTGTTAAACAATTTTATAAAGATTTTATAATCAGATTTTCATCATTTATGATTTATTCCGATTTTATTACATTAGGTTTTTCAATACAAATGGTATGAATTTCATATAAATAAGAAAATGTTTATATTGATGTATCAACTCAGTTTTCATACACAACTCAGATAATATATAGTAATATTCATCAAGATAAAATGCCATTTTAAGACTGTGCCATTTTTTCATTGAGTTTAGCAAAACTAAAATCATACTTTTAATTAAACTTACTTGAGTGGGATGGATTATTTCAAGAAAAAATAAATTTTTTGATACGGTGGTAGGTGATTATATCAATATCATAAAAACTACTTTCGATTTCAATTTAGATTTATATCTTGCTTTAAAACAGCATGGAAATTAGATAGAAAAAAACATTAAAACAAAGAGAGGCTGTCAATTAAAAAAGCTTCTCTTCAATTACTTGTAAAATTGTAATTCGAAAAAACTTGTTAACAATTAAAACTCAATTAAAAAAGTCGTCTTCATTATATTGATATAATCGCCTACCACCGTACCTCAACCCCAAGCCTAAATAACAGAACAATCTCTTAAATTTGTGTCGTTAAGGAACGTGAGCGGATGATGAAAGTGAACGAAATGTTTGATAAACTGAAAACTATAGTTCCCGAGGGAATACATAATCCACACGAGGACAAGGAAACTAAGGTATGTTTAAAAATGGTAAAACTCGGAGATTAAGGTTATTATGGGTTTAAAAGTATCAATTTAACATCGACTGTTATTTACACATATCGCACGCTTTGAATGCTAATTTGTTCATTAATGATAAATGCTTTTTGTTTTAGATTACTACTCTTCGATCCGCCATTACTTATATTAGTGAACTACAGAAACTTCTTACTGATTATGATTCTGGTTGTATTGACCCGGCCCTGTATCAGGAACAAGACAGTGAGAAAGAAAACAAAAAGAAACAGAAAAAGAAGCAGCAGAGTATATCCAAGAAGTCAAAGGTTCACTCACAAAAGAAGAAACATTTATCAGTGAGGCGTAAGACCGTCTTGAAACCGAAATGGACAGATTATACTTCGGCTAAACTTAAACAATCATCAACATCCTTGCATGTACAAGCCGTACAACCAGTGCATACTGTACAAGCATCGTCTTGTGATCTGGAAGACTATGTACTGTACAGAGCAGATCCAAAAGATTCACTCCCTGTTGAATACGTTGTTTATCAAGCAGAGAGGGAGGAAGTATATGCCCCGGTGGAACCCCCTCAAGTTGCAGTAATGAATGAGGTTGAACCTGCTAAGGATTATGTGATCTATAGAAGTGAACCTGCACTGCAACCAAGTAAAGATGTGAATGTTATTAGTCTTTATATAAGTTTAATTGATGGGAAAAGATCTGGTGATTAGCTGTTACTCTCCAGTTAATCCTTGTGATTCTACATCCAGAAATTTTATATATTCATCTGTATCTATGGTTATGCATTATATATTAATAATCACAAATAAATTATATCTACGAGTTTTTTGGGTAATACACACAAGATAATAATGAAAAACATGTTTACGAAAGAAATAACATTTGTAGTGGTTTATAATGAATACATATGAACGGAGGGTTCCCATCACGCACCTCTGCCCCTTCAGTAAAAGTAAATTCAACCTATATGAAGCATAAAGTCTGACCGCGTCAACCTTATTGCAACGGCTATTCCTGTCCATAGAGCTAGGTACAGTACAAACTGGGACCGGAAAGGTTGACCTGGCTCGCAAATTCAAATGAACTACGGCTGCCCGTGCTATTTTATAATATGAGCTATAATGCAAATATCACATTAAACCAACGCAAGTCAATCAACTGTCCAAACATGTAAACACCTTTGTCCGAGAAATATTGAGATACATATATTGATATTTATCTATCTAGAAATGAGATAAATTCTGGCATTCATTTCACCATTTTGCGATATAAATCCACAAGACACTTTATTTAGAAATGATCTATTTGCTGATAGAAAAACAAGGATTTATTTTTATTTTTTCAAACTTTTAACTAAAGAAAATTTATGATTTTGTTTTCATCTTGTAGATCAGAAGGGTGTGGTAACAATTACGGATAGAAGGTCCGACCCTTCTCTCGTCTAGGGCTTAAGTAGAATATTGTAAAAGAAAAAAATATTTTGAAAATCCCTAAATCCCTGCAACGTGATGGCGTAAAAATTTCATTTTTAGAAAACAGATTGCAAAAATAAATTTGTGTATTTATTTTTGAGATAACTGGGTGCACACCGCACAAACTGTCAAAAGAAAACAAGATTGTAAATGATTTTTTTATTGATACCTTAAATCTTATCAAATCTTGAGGACATTCGTTTATAATTTTCACGAAACAATGTTTTCTATTTAAGATTCCTTTATGAGTCCAATCATCGGTCCAAGGCTTCTTAATCTATATACACCCCTAGCTTATACTTTATACATTTACTACTAACTCTACTGTTAATATAGCTTGACATTCAAGGCTTTAAAGGGACTGTCATTGTAATTTCAAGTGACATTAAATTTGAATAATTTAAATTGCAATGTCGTTTTCTATCATGATAATTACTTAATTCTTTCATTTTCCCTTTTTTAAACAAAAATACCACAAGTCACGTTTATAGAAATCCAACAATTAAAACTAAAAATTCAGAAAGAAATCATGAATATCTGGATCGAACAAAACTTTAAAGGGAAACCGAGACTTGAATAGGGAATGCTCTCTAAATTGAAAGTAAATGAAAAATTATGTTTCCTGTCCCTTTAAGTTTCTGACTTAATGTGTCCGATAGAGTGACGTATACTGAATTTATGAATGAATAATTAGTAAGCTTCATTCCTCTAGCCTGTAGACCTATAGGTATTATGCACTGCTAATTGCTGAGTACTATTAATGATCTGATGATGGATTTTGTTTGATCATTATTTACCAGATACAACCAACTCAAGGCAGTCTACACACTGTAAACTAAATGGTAGAAATTAGAAACTATGCGAGCTCAATATCGTTCAGGGCTAACATTTAGATATTGTAAATGGTGTACCGATAAACATTGGAATTGGATGAACAATTAAATTAAAATAGTAAATTAGAGACCTTTGTTTTAGATTTTTGAAACTTAAAGCTTTTGAAGAGAGAAGAGATGTTGAGAAATTAGGATTTTAAGAGAGAAGAGAAGTTAAGAGATTAGGATTTTGAGGAGAGCAGAGAAGTTGAGAGATTAGGTTTTGAAGAGAAAAGCGAAGTTGAGAGATTAGTTTTGAAGAGAGAAGAGAAGTTGAGAGATTAGGTTTTGAAGAGAAAAGAAGTTAAGAGGTTAGGGTTTCGAAGAGAGCAGAGAAGTGGAAAAATTGGGATTTTAAGAGAGAAGAGAAGTGGAGAAATTATTTTTTGAAGAGAGAAGAGAAGTTGAGAGATTAGCTTTTAAAGAAAGAAGAGAAGTGAAAGCTTTTGGAGAGAGATGAGAAGTTGAGAAATTGGGATTTTAAGAGAGAAGATAAGTTAAGAGATTAGGGGTTTGAAGAGAAAAGAGAAGTTGAGAGATTAGGTTTTAAAGAGAGAAGAGAAGTTGAGAGATTAGTTTTGAAATGAAAAGTGAAGTTGAGAGATTAGGTTTTAAAGAGAAATGAGAAGTTGGGAGATTAGTTTTGAAGAAAGAAAAGAAGTGGAGAGAGAGAAAGAAGTTTTAAAGAGAATGAAGGTTTTGGATTAATAATCTAAAGAAAGAGAAGAAGTTAAGATATTTTGTTTTGAAAAAACAAGAAAAATTTTGAGAAGAGGATGAATGAGAAGTGAAATACATAAATTGTAAAGAAATAAAATAAAAATAAATATGGATAAACCAGAGGGATGAGGTATGTTTATACACTATACATACAGATATATGAATGTCAAGATATGTAGATAAATACTGCTATATATCTCCAACTGTGTTGAGAAACACGAACAAATTTCTCATGTAAACACAGTCTGTCATAAACACTGTTTAGGTATTCCTTCGGTCTGACCCCGGCACACGTTCTTCTCCATACCTAACCCAGTACACAGTACACGCTCTTCTTCACACCTAAACTAGTACATAGTACACACTCTTCTCCATACCTAACCCAGTACACAGTACACGTTCTTCTCCATACCTAACCCAGAACACAGTACACGTTTCACTCCATGCCTAACCCAGTGCACAGTACACGTTCTTCTCCTAACCTAACCCAGTACATATTACACTCTTCTCTTTACTAACCCCGGTATACACTCTTCTCCTTACTTACCTCCTTGTTATAAAATATTTGTAGTCCCTCAACATGTCCGTGGGTATCAATATTGATGCGAATATATGATATCCAGCGATGCCACGATGATAGTCTTTTCTACATCTGTTTGTAATCTATTTCTCTAACTATCGTTTTATCAATCAAATTCAGCCTGTCCATCTTTTCTCTGTACTTTTCAATCCTGTCTCGTGCTCATTCCTCTTTTTCTCATGTTAAGCAGAGAAAAAAGTTCCTTAAATTCCTCGCCTTCAATTAATTCTAGATGAATTCATCGAATAAAAAGTTAATTAATTCCTGAGTTTGGTCTGCATTGTATAAATATGAAGGATGTAATGTGATCACATTTAGATTATTCCGAACTGGCGGCAAAAAGGTTGAGTAGGAATCCAAAAAGGTTCGCGGCATCCATATATGTTTTCAAATATACAGTTGGTAGCTATACATCACTATATAGAGTATTTATAAGTGATGTATGAGTGTTGTATAATAAATGTACATTATATAAAACTGAAAGACAGGTCTTCAACAATTCTTTTTATAGAGAAGTACTAAAAAAAACATTATGCTAGGAGGGTTCGGGGTCATCATGGTTTAGGTCTCGAGTTTATTATTCGAAATGTCAAAAATTAATTTTGTGCAATTGTTTTAATATATGTATTTATGAATTTTGATTAGTATCAATATTTGACAATCTTAATCCTTTTTTTCCACGTTTGGAAAATATCAAGCACCAAAACGTTTGGGAGTTTTTTATTTTCAATTTTTTTTACAAATTACAAATAAAACTATGTTTGCGAAAAGAAGCTTATCAAAAGATATACATGGAGATATATATTTAACATTTGTTTAAGATTAAAAGGATAAATTTTGAATATTTTGCCCCGTCACCAGATAAAAATAGAAGCGTAAGCGACAAAGGCCCGCCACCAAGTTTGGAGTCTGATGCTAAATGATTAAATGTATATTTTAGGTCAATATTGGAGAAGAAAATCAATCATTTAGATTTGATGGGGAATATCGAGATATTGGTATAATAAAGGGCACATGGTATCGGAAATGGAGGGGGAGGGTAGAAGGGGCAAACAAATTTAAGGAGGGGTAAATATTTATTTTAAGGGGTTAATATATATTTTAAGGGGTAAATATTTATATTAAGGGGTAAATATTTATTTTAAGGGGTAAATATATATTTTAAGGGGTAAATATTTATATTAAGGGGTAAATATATATTTTAAGGGGTAAATATTTATTTTAAGGGGTGAATATTTATATTAAGGGGTAAATATTTATTTTAAGGGCTAAATATTTATTTAAAGGGGTATATATTTAATGGAAGGAGAAAAATATATGAAAAAACAATCTTATAGTGTTTAAATGTTGCTTTTCAAGCTGGCAATTTCCATTCAGTTATAGGATAGGTTATATATAAATATGGATGGATCTAGCTAGGATAGGTTTATATATAAATATGGATGGATCTAGCTATGATAGGTTTATATATAAATATGGATGGATCTAGCTAGGATAGGTTTATATATAAACATGGATGGATATAGCTAGAATAGGTTTTGAGATAAATATGGATGTATCTAGCTAGGATAGGATACATATGAATGGATCTATTTATGATAGGTTTATATATATGGATGGATCTAGCTAGGATAGGTGTTGATATAGATGGATGGATCTAGCCAGGATAGGTTTTGATATATGTGGATGAATCTGGCTAGAATAGGTTTTGATACATATGGATGGATCTAGCTAGGATAGGTATATATATATATATATATATTATATATATATATATGGATTGATATAGCTAGGATAGGTTTTGATATATATGGATGGATCTAGCTAAGATAGGATACATATGAATTGATCTGTCAAGGATAGGTTTTGATATATATGGATGGATATAACTAGGATAGATGTTGATATAAATGGATGGATATAGCTAGGTTTTGATATATATGGATGGATCTAGCTAGGATAGGTGTTGATATAGATGGATTGATATAGCTAGGTTTTGATATATGGATGGATTTAGCTAGGATAGGTGTTGAAATATATGGATGGATATAGCTAGAATAGGTTTTGATATATATGGATGGATCTAGCTAAAATAGGATACATATGAATGGATCTGTCTAGGATAGTTTTTGATATATATGGATGGATCTATTTAGGATAGGCTTCGATATATATGGATGGA